AAAAAAAAAAAAAAAAGAAAGGTGGTTGCCGATACTTACCTTAGAGCAGCTGTGAAGGTTAAAGGAGATCATGTGAGTAACACATAGGTGCATAGGCGTAACACAAAGTAAGACAATGGAGATGGAGCGGCTTGCAACCACAATTGTTGACCCACGGTGACTATTTCAAATATTTATTTCTCTCTCTCCTCACATTCCCTCACTCAATTTTTAGTTTCAGCAGATTATCTTGAAAGCAGAGTAAAGTTAACAAGTATGATTTCTGTTCTCTTTTTGTTTCTGTCGCCTCCCCTCACTCACACGAGTTCTCAACTTGGCTTTAAGCCTGCTATGAAGCCACCTGGCCACTAAATCCATCTTTCTTTAGATCAGTAATTCCAAAAGATCTGGGATCTCGTTAGAAATGCAGATTATCACCTCACCTAAGACTTAATAACCAGAAACTCTGAGAATGGGGCCCAGGAATCTGTTTTAATAAGCCCTCCTGGGCTTCGCTGAACTTGGAGAACCAGTGCTTTAGCATATCCACAAGAACACCATGAGGGTTTATGAGGTCAGGACAGGAAGCCTCAAAGTTTAACGAATTGTTTGAATTTTAAACACTTGAGTTCTAAACACTTAAGAACTTAACAACAGTTGGCTTGCAAGTAAGCTATTTAATACGTGAATCACAAAAATGTTAAGAAATTGAGGACAAGACAAAGAGAGGTCCCCAATGGCAGACTCCTAGGCTTGCTCTCCTGCCCTGTCTAGGCTAAGGCCAAGCTCCAGCAGTGGGAAAAACTAGGTACAGGATGAGGAGACATAAAGGTCAGTGTGGAAAACACCCCAGGGGTTTCCCTGTGAGCACAGGGAGTCCACTGTCCAGCACGAGTGTGCCCATCTCTTTGGAGGTTTGGAACCTAACATGGAAAGCAGGAGGCTGGATCACAGTTAAGCCCTGTGCTGAGTCACTACATTTAAAGAGAGACATTGATAAAACCAGTTCACTTCTACCGAGAATAATGGGAATACACAGAATTTATAGTTTAACAAATTGGGGGTGTTTATTCAGAAAAGAGAAGGCTGGGAGGACCTGATAGCTGTTTTATAACTGAAGGGGTGTCATAGGAATAGAAATCGGACTTATCCTTTATTGCCTCAGAGAAAAGAACTAGGACCAATGGTTAGAAGTTAATGGGGAGCATATTTTATCTCAATATGAGAAAATTTTCTAACGATTAGAGCTATTAAATAAATTGCATAGCCTTGTAAGGCTGTAGGCCTCTGCTCACTGGAAGCACTCAAGTGAAGCCAGATGACGGCTGGCCGTGAATTGAGTGGTGAGATTATTACATTGGGAAGTCAACCTAGGCTGCCTCTGTTTCTTTCCAACTTTTAAAATTCTATGGATATATGTTACCCATTAGAGGCTGAGATACAAAAATAGATTTTACTACAAAATCACCTTAAAATAGTACCTTAGGTAGTTTTCTTTTAAAATGATTTAAATTCATGGTTTTTCTCCTAACGCGCTCCTCTGTGGACTCAATAAATATACGGCACCTTACTAAGTTCAACAAAGATGTTTCGCACATTTACGAGCGTCATAAGGAAAAAATTCTTCCCAAGAGAATTCTTATAAAGATTTTTTAATGGTGGAAGATAATATTTTAGAAAGATTTCTAGTACACGGATTATTCTATGCAATGTCATAGATAGCAGATGGAAGAGAGGGGAAAAAAAGAGCAATTTCTTTATGGTTACCCAAGGAGCCAGAGAATGTATGTGTCAGGAAGGTGGTTGATTGCTTGATTTTGCATAACCTAATTGAGATTATTATTATTTTTAAATGTGGGTTTGTTGTGCTAATTAACTATAAACATATGGTATGTAAAATACATGCTGCTAGGGTAAATTAATGTACCTCTAACATGCATCCATATTTCATAGCTTCATCCACACAAATAAACCTCCTATGGAAGGGCTGCAAAGCAAACACCATTTTGCAAATTGCGCATCGCTGGTAGTAGAGCTGATACACCATTTTCCCATCATTATCCCTGACATTTCACGCACAATGATGATGAGAGGCATTTTCAAATAGAGAATTTCTCCCATGGAACTGATTAATGTGATGAAGTACTGTATAGAAATGAGGGAAACCACGAAATCTCTGCGATTCCTAACTTTTAATTTTATCTGTACGCAAATGCCTTCTGTACCATGAGACTGAAACTAGTTAAATGGGGACCAGGACAGCCAAGTCAACATTTATTTTGTACTTACTGTTTCCCAGGCAGTGTGCCAGGAAATAAAGGCTTGTATTTCCGTAACTCCCCAAGGATTGTGTTACCCTGAAGTTTCGTACAGACAAAGGTCCCAAGTGTGCTCTTGAGTTCTATCCATCGCCTTCTACCACAGCAATAAGGCTGTTTAGTCGTACTCTCCACGTCCTATGCAACCTCTTATTTGAAATTAACATGTATGTATACATACATACATCTGGTCCCCTTTTTCTCCAAGTGTTTTCTATTTATTATAGATTGAATTTCGAAAATTTCAGTAGCTATCCTGTAATTTGCAATAATTTCGCAGAAATTTCTATCAAATTACCTTCATTTCTGGCTAATAAAACTAATCTTGAAAAACACATTATCTACACAGGCTGATTTTAAAAAAAAGATAGCTGTGATAAAGGCAAAGAGTTCTACCTTTAACCCTCCAGAAAAGCAGTCCCAGACTAAGCAGAAACAAGAGAGAATGGAACGTCCAAGGCGGCAGGGATGCGAGATCATCTGACCCGGATGTGGTTAACAGAGGACATCAACACCACCGCTCCCTGCCCCGGCCCCCGTGGCAGACATCACCAGTCACATTACTCTTTGCCACTGAGCCTGGCATTCTCAACAAATTCTCCAGAAAATCACTAGCAATTCATCAGGCTTAGCACCAAAAGTGAAACTTATCTGCCATCTCTTTTCTGGTTCAATCATTTAATTTTACAGGTGAGAAAACAGAGACCTGCAGAGATAAAGTGATGTCCCCAAGATTAACTAGCTTCTGAAACGCAGGGCCAGGACTCAGACATCTGCTTCTTCTTTCATCATCATACCCTTCCTTTCTATCTGTCCTTAATAAAACTATTGGTTTTCTAGGTCTTTGAAGCCTATTTTATTCTGTATTCATCAAGTGCTCGACCAGTGAACAGTCTACAGAATTTATGTTCTATGAAGAGTTGCAAAAAGGCCGGGCATGGTGGGTCATGCCTATAATCCTAGCACTCTGGGAGACTGACGGGGTGGATCACCTGAGGTCAGGAGTTCGAGACCAGCCTGCGCAAGAGCAAGACCCTGCTTCTAAAACTAGCCAGGCGTTGTCACCAGCTAGTCAGGATGCTGAGGCAAGAGGATCACTTGAGCCCAAGAGCTGGAAGTTGCTGTGAGCTATGACACCACGGTACTCTCCTGAGGGCAACAAAGTAAGATTTTGTCTCAAAAAAAAGCAAAAAAAAAAAAAAAATTTTTTTTCAGTATTTCCACCTTCCTCTCACCTGGAAAGTATTTCCAACAAAGAGGTTTAGTGATTTTGGTTTTTTTACTGCATTGCAGTTTGGAGACTTACAATAATCTTAGGTGATGTCTGTAAAAAAATCCTCATCAAAGTTTATGGGAAAAGATCTGGGAAAGAGGAGAGAAGACTTATAATTTTTTCATTTGCTAAAGGCTGATATAAAAGAAAACAGAAGTACCACAAAATGCAATTAAAAGAAAGCAAAGGGCTCAGAAAAGAACAATAGTAACAACAGGCCTTTTTTGATTTTCTTTTTTTTTTTTGAGACAGAGTCTCACTCTGTGACCCTGGGTAGAGGGCCCTGGTGTCACAGCCCACAGCAACTTGAACTCTTAGGCTTGGGCAATCCTCTTGCCTCAGCCTCCCAAGTAGCTGAGATTACAGTTACCCACCACTACACCCAGCCAGTTTTTCTATTTTTAGTAGAGACAGAGGTCTTGCTCTTGCTCAGGCTGGTCTCGAACTCCTGAGTTCAAGCAATCCACCTCCCCTGACCCCTCCCAGAGAGGCCTTTTTTTATTTTCAAAAAGAAAATAGAAAAGCCACTGAGGGGAAAATACATCAAATACGGTTTACAAATACATGCAAGATGGCAAAATCAGTTTCTCCACAGGAGCATGTGAGCAGTGCTGTTCTCACCTTCTGTAGAAATGACAAAAAACTCAAATTTCATTTTATAGACTTTACTCTTTTCTTTCCAAAAGCTGGTTTTCTCTTTATCGAAAAAGACTGCTTTTTAAATTGTCAGACACACACGAACTAAGCAAAACCTTTTTTTCACCAATACACTGAGGTGTATAATTATTTTCCATGAGCTTGGACTTTGCAAATATTTCTCAGAATTGTAACTCTAGTATTTCCAAAAGTTCTTTCCTAGTAACACAGGCTGTCTAAACAAGCCCCAGCGGGTTACTCCATATTAACCCTTCTCATCTGCTGTCTTCTGGATCTGCCCTCTTCTCCCGACTAACCATTTCAAACTTTTTTTTTTTCATTAAATCACAGCTGTGTACATTAATACTATCCTGGGGTACAGAGTGCTGTTTCTATATACAATTTGAAATAGTTTCATCCAACTGGTTAACGTAGACCATTTCAAACTTTTGCCCAAATGTGGATGCAACAATTTTCTTTTTGGGGGGTTTTATTTTTGGGGTTTTTTTGATGCAATAATTTTCTGAGGGGCCTTGTATTACGTAATTTTAAGATCTCTGATATTGCACAAAAAAGAAGACTGTCTGAATATTCACAATGATAGTGATGATGACGACAATGTCAACAGTAATAACCTAAACTCTACACTTGCTGTGTAACAGGGACTGGGCTTAGCCTTTTCAGGCATTATCACAGAAGATCCCTCAAACCTTAAGATATATTATTACTACACTCATAAGATGAGCTTCAGGGAGGTTGAGTGAGTGGCGAAACCAGGATTAAACCCCAAATCCTTTGTACTTCATAATCCATGCTTTTTCACTCAAGTTATTCATTCAATATATGTATACGGGACACCTACTTTGTGCCAAGCCTCGCACTAGATGATTACTCACTGCCAAAGGCAGCAGGAGCTGCTGAAACTGGACCCAGTTCTCTTAGTTCACGTCTTCAGAACATGTCAGCGATCTCTGCACTGCAAATGTCAATGTTAGAATCATGGTCACCCTCAGAAGGAGAGCAAACCAGCTTTAAGAAGAATGATGATGTGAACGGGGCCTGAAGGAGAGCTCAGCAAGTCAGGTTGACTACTGGAAAGGAGCCTGGGTACAGGGCCCAACAGCATAAAAATGTCCATTACATTTGATAAAGTACTCTCAGTTTTGGAAATCTGTTTTGAGATTTGAGAATGTTATGGAAAGTAGGAAAAAAATATCCATATAAGATGTTTATAGCAGCATTATTTATAGTTTAATTTAGGGTACAAACAACCTAGAGCCCAGAAAAAGGAGGGAAAGATGGTAACAGCCTGATCATGAAATAATTTAAAGTAATTAAAAGCATAAAGATGGTGCAGCTACCTTTAAACGTGTACACTCAGGCCGGGTGCAGTGGCTCACGCCTGTAATCCTAGCACTCTGGGAGGCTGAGGCAGGTGGATTGCTTGAGGTCTCGAGTTCAAGACCAGACTGGGCAAGAGTGAGACCCCATCTCTAAAAAACAGCTGATGTTGTGGTGGGCGCCCACTGTCCAGGGAGCTGAGGCAAGAGGATTGCTTGAGCCTAAAAGTTTGAGGTTGCTGTAAGCTATGATGCCACAGCACTCTACCGAGGGCAACAAAGTAAGACTCTGTCTAAAATAATAAATAAATAAATAAATAAAAGTGTACACTTACAGGACATAGAGGACAATTCAAAATTGTCTTCTACGATCACAAGTATGTAAAATGTTTTGTAAAAAAGATTGTAAGTGAATACTTCCAAAGCATAATAGTGGCCATTGAGATGAAATCATACTTAGGATCTGCCCCCTCATTTTTGGTAACATGGTTTCTTTCAGAACTTCAAAGTCACTGACATGATGGTATATACCTCCAGGATTAGAAGACCAGAACCAAGTGCTAGTTTCTAACAACTAGTGAAGATATTTATAGTTAAAACTGTGTAAGACTGAAAATCAGTCTTAATCAGAGATAATTAATTATTCAGAAAACTCAAATAGAGAAATATCATTACGGAAAGAGGAAACAGTCCCTGCTTGATGACCAAATACAGTGATGACATTAAGTAACAGGGTTGACTTCAAGCCCAAAGCAATGGATCCAGGAAAGTGGCCTTTAAAGCAGAAGGAACTTAAAAGACAGGATGGAGGTACCAGAGGCACGGGCCTCATTCTCATCTCAGACACAGGGAAAACACCACAGGCGATGTTGGGGAGGAGGAGGTCTGCTGGCTGCAGTAACATCCACCGTGTGCGTATTCAGCACACGGCACTCACAGAGAGCATCTCTGTCGCTCCTGGTAGCCTCTGAGTGACATGCTACAATGTACACAGCATGCCACCAGCCAGAAGGAGTGATCTACTTTTCTATGCCTTCTGAGCAATATTCATAATGATGATCTTAGGAACTACAAAATCTTGTGGAGGATTAGATCAGTTAACCTAAAAGCTAGCTGAACTTCAGAGTCACCTGAGAAGCTTGGTAAAATATTTTTTCTTGGGGCTTTACCTTCTGAATATGATTTAGCAGGGTGCGTGTGTGTGTGTGTGTGTGTGTTTGGTACTCCAAAATCTATACTTTCAGCAAGCTCCCTAATTAGACTCCCTAATTGAATTAGACTTCGACTGGACTAAAATATAGATGGTATAATTTTAGTGTTTAACACCACTCACAGTATTTTAATGTAGGGTCTTATCAGAATGTCTTTTTAAACAGACTATCCATTCCCCAACCATGTCATAAAACAGAATATTCACTGTACCTGGTAATCCAGCATGCAGAAGCTTGGAAAAAACTGACAAATTCGGGATTCAAAAAAATAGGGGAAAATCCAGAAAATGGGTAGTTCTTTGTGACTGTTACCTAATGGATCACAAGAAAGGGGAAAGAAGAAATGGATATTAAAGAAAAAATAGAAAGCTGCTTCTAGTATTGTGAGGAATTGCCATTGTTCAAGACATTTAAATCTCTCCCCCAAACTGGGTATGTTTATAGGAGTGCTATTTACAACTTGACCTTTCCCAAAGATATTCTTTTCTATCTAGACATAGCTACGAAGGGCACGTAAATGTGACCCTTTTATGCATATTACTATAGTCTAGGAAAAGGCAAAGCTATTACCCAAAAGGTGGAAAATAAAAACACTATCACTTTGAAATAAAGGTAGTCATGGCATAGTGGAAGGGAGCCTGAACAAGAAGACAGGAAGGCCTGGGTCTGAATCCTAGCTCCGCCACAACTCCTTAGTTTTCAAGGATGAATCAATCTTTCCTTAATCATGGAATATTCTTAAAAATAACCTTATCAAAATAAGTTTTGTTGGTTTTTTGTTGTTGTTAAAGATGGGATCTCGCTCTGTCGCCTGGGCTAGAGTGCAGTGGCATCATCGTAGCTCACAGCAACCTAAAAGACTTGGGCTCAAGGGATCCTCATCCTCCTGAGTAGCTGGGATGACAGGTGGGCACCAACACAGCCACCTAATTTTTCTATTTTTTGTAGAGATGGGATCTTGTTTTGTTGCTCAGGCTAGTCTCAAACTCCTGGCCTTTAGCAATCCTCCTGCCTCAGTCTTTCAAAGTGTTGACATTACAGGCATGAGCCACCATGCCCAGCCTAAAATATTAGCTTTTACGAGAGTGATAGGGAATATAGCTATTATTTGCAGAGTAACCAGTACAGGCTAAGCACTGTGCTACATACTTTCTGTATATAGTCTCCTTATAATAACCCCTAGAGTCACATATTAAAAATCCCATTTTATAGAGGGTGAATCTGAAGCCACAGCTATCAAGTTCATACAGCTAATAAGCGGCAGAACAGGAATTCAAGCCCACAAAGCTCTTTATTGCTTCCCCAATAACATTGATTTGTCCTCTCTGATCAGTTGACTTAAGAACAGCAAGGAAGTGAAACACCTAACAATATGAGTGAAGTTTTGGATTTCCTTTACATTCTGTCTCCAAAGCCGTTTATGTGGCATAATTAATAGAGAAACTTGATGACGTAATTCCTGACAGTCTTATAATTTATCAACTTGCAAGCTAGAAATAGTATCTAAAAAATGAGTCTATGGACTAATTAGATAATTATATAAAATATTTTGAAGTTCTAAGCCACAAATAATAACCCCCAGCCAGTAAACTACCTCTAGGGCTAAGATCTGTGTCGCTGAAAACCACTATTAGCCTACAGGAGATCCAACCTCCACATGTAAATCTTAGCATAGTTTAAAGCTCTAGGCCTGGCTGGGCGCAATGGTTCAGACCTGTAATCCTACCACTCTGAGGGGGCAAGACAGGTGGATTGCTTAAGCTCAGTTCAAGATCAGCCTGAGCAAGAGCAAGATCCTATCTCTGAAACTAGCCAAGAGTTGTGTCAGGTACCTGCAGTGCCAGCTACTCTGAGAGACTGAGGCAAGAGGATCACTTGAGCCCAAGAGTTTGAGATTGCTGTGAACTATGAAGTGATGAGTTTTGGGCAAGACTTTAGAGACAGGGATATGGAGGTGCGTAGGACAGAGATGTATGTCTGCTTTCACTAATCTAGCCCTAGCATCAGGGGTGGCCAACCTTTTTCTTTCTCCACCACAAATTGGAAAAATAATAGTTGCCTTGGACCATACACAAACACTAATGAAAGCTGATCAGGAAAAAAAAAGGATTTGTGCATATTTTTGTTGATATCTGACACCAGAGACAAGCAAAAAACCTCACAAAATCAGCATGTGGTCCCCAGGCTGCAGGTTGGACACCCCCCGATCTAAACAATACCTGGCACACAATAGCCACTCAGTAAATAGTATATATCCATATGTAAATATGAATTGCATTCCTGCAATAAATATAACATATTTCTTACACAATTGAAAATAGTTCATTGCTTTTCTTCATCATCCCCACTCAAAACAAATATTTTACCTATAAAGAAGCCATCTTAAAAACACAGAATTAGAATAACACAAAGTGTTTCATGGAGATGAAGGTTGCCACATCAAGTCAGACTGTTTACAAGAAGAGAGAGGAACCCAAGACGTGTATTTTCTATCAGTGCTGTGATTCACTGAGCTCAGCTAATATTTGACAGGAAGTAGATACACAGATACACGTTTATTCTGAAGTAATAAATTACACACTTTGGCTTTGACCTTCTTTCCACATAGCAATTAACTTCTTGAATGTAACAGCCAGAGGTTCAACCAAGCCACCAAAAGGAGGATCTGTCACCATAATGACTCCTTCGCCTTCATCTTCCTGTAAAAATGCTCTGCATACTTCAAGGGCAGCCTGGAACAAATAGAAATTCATTTCTAAATCAGGACTAGAGAGACCCCCTATTTGAAGGAGAATGCATTAGATTCAGTTTCACTCTTCGTACTGGGAACTTTACCAAGCCACCCGCCACTGCAGCATCCCTGACTGACTGATCCCTGAAGCCATTCTTAGCCCTCATAAGATTTTATCTTTAGGTTCCCTGATAAACAGGTTTTTTAAAGTGCAAATTCGAACACCATTACTATCAAAAGGCTACGCATTTCAAACAGTTAAATTAAAAAACTAAATGTGGTAACCTCAAAGAGAGAAACTCATTACCCAG